CAGTAGATGGGGCTGGTACAGATGAATCATCAAGTGGATGATGCCCATAAGTACCATCAGATCTCTATAATACAAGGGCTTTTCTGGGCTTTTAAATGTAGTGATAAACACCCTTTATATTACCTTGGAGGAAATCTCTGTTTTGAGTCTTTAAAAAAAGGTTACTTTCTGCCACTATAAAGCAATGCAACTCAAACATTGTGGCAAGGTTGGCAACTGCAGGGCCAACTTTACCATAAGGCAAAGACAGATAGCCTTGCAGGTAAGCAATGCTGAGGACATCAAAGCCATCTTCCTTCTGAGTCTGCCCCACATCAGTCTACTGTTCTGGGCCTCCTATGTAATCTGTAAGATTCAGCTGCAACAGACTTCTGCATGTGGAACAGCACAGAAATATTATTTTATATTTTACTGTAGGTAATAAGATGTCTGGGGTCAGCTCTAGATCCTTCTTTTGATAGGGCACTATCTTTCCCATGTGGATACCCGAAATTTCCTGATACATTCTTGGTTTCCCCTATTGGAAATGATCTCTATAATGATATATCTCTCAGGTGTGCATCCCAATACAAGAATGTTTCCAAGCTGTGATATATCCCAGTGAACCATACTGCCTCCTTCAAACTGGCAGAAGAGTGAATAAAGCAATTCACCCTTCCAGTGAAATGCTTGGTACATAACCTCTACACAGCTTCTTCTGTAATGACACAGGCAGGACATTTGTTGAGTGAATCCCAAGGTGAACGAGTATAGTTGTTAGAAGCCTTTTGGAAAATACCAACAAAATGTTTAACAGTCAAAGCCAGCTAACGGATGAGTGAATAGCTTCTAGAGAGGATTTAGGCTTTACTGATGGAAGACTGAGTGCTGACCCAGAAAATCAAGATATGTTCTCAGACCCTGGGGACACACAAGATAGAAGCTTTAGCAAACTGTTCAGGTGGAAGCAGGAGTTCCTGCAAAGTAGAAAGCATTTGGTACTGAGTACAAAGCAAACAACATGCTTTGAGAGATGTTTTGAAAAACAAACAGACTTCTCAGATATAAATATAAAGGGAACCCATAATGGGGAGGAGATCTGGCAAGGAGACACAAAGGAAATTAGGTGTAGTGTTCTGGAGGGTCTGATCCACTCAGGTTCTGCTCAGTTTAGGTTCACATGATAAACTGAAATGAGACTAATTTGAGAGTACAATAATAACTTTATTGATGAAAAATAGTATAAGGAAGCAGTAGCACAAAGCATAAGCAAAGAACATGTTCTCACATTATCACAGGGTTTTTGCCACCAAATCCACTGCCTGGGTCCAGCCCCGCTCCCAGGAGTGCTCCAGTGGCCATTTTCTTAAGTCAGAAAACTAGTGGTTTTGAAAAGAGGCAGACTGAGCACCCCTGGGAGCTGAGATGACCTTGGGCAGCAGATTCAGCAGCAAAATCCCTGCGATAGTATCACGATGCTCTTCAAATTAAAATTTAAGTAGGGAGAGATAAGACAGTTTTATAAGTAATGCGATAAGCTCCAGAGCTTCAAGTGCAGGTTGTCCCCAAATCTGTGCTGTTGAACAATACAGGGTTCCTCAAATGCACTTTTCAGGCTCTCAGACAAGACACTAGCATTCCTCTTTCTGAGATCAAGAGAAAGGAAAACTTTCATAGCTTGGAGTTATATGTCCTAACAGGCCTGGCTTTCTAGAATATACAAGAACTCATGGAGATAGTTCTCCTTCTTCCTTCTCCCTTCAGACTAAGAAGAGAAGGAGAGTGATGTTGTCAGAGAAAAATATTTATTTATTTATTTATATCCTGCCCCTCTGCAGAGCAATCGGGGTGGCTTACAACATTAAAATCTCCATACATATATGTTAATGCACTGTAAACAAAACCTAAAAATTCCGAAACCCACCCGCTCCTTAAAAAGTGAGGGTTCTTCTTCTTAGGCTTGGTCCGATGGAGATGGGCCTGCATCTCTCCCCTAGATGACGTCGGATGGAGTGGAGGGAGGGCTCTTCTACTTAGGCTAGGCCCGATGGAGATGGGCCTGCATCTCTCCCCCAGATGACGTCGGATGGAGTGGAGGGAGGAGCATCAAGGCATGGACAACATTTACATTAATACTTAAGGCTTTTTAACTGAATACATGAATGTTAGGAAGAAGTCCCAGGAGAAAATGTACAATGTGGGGAATAGCAGCAGCCATGATGACACAGCATTTGATTTTTCCTGAGTCATGCTGAATCATGCTGTATCATGGGAAGCGACATAATGTAGATTGTCACCTGGTGCTGGAAAGCACAGACAACTGCTGCAAAACTGCAGGGTCACTCAGGTATCAGCAGGAAGAGGCAGAGCCAGAAGGCCACATGGAACCTCTGGACACACAGCAACACTGACAACCATCCATGACCATGATCAACACCCACGTCTCTACAATCAACAACCACATGTGGTTGATTGTAGATAGAGGAACTAAGATTAAAGCCTCATCTGAGAGACGTCTGTCTATAGCAGGGGTAGGCAACCTTTTTGATCCGGGGGCCCAGTTGCTGTCCCTCAGACAATTGGGGGCCGAAGCACCAAAAATAAATAAATTAATTAAAATTATTTTTTTAAAAAATTAAAAATTAAAAAAAATAGGCATGCATACTCTCTCAGCCCCAGAAAAGCCATGGCAAAACCCCTGTGGAGATTTTTCCAGGAAAACGGCAAGAACAAATAATAACAACAATAATCAATATCATCATGGTGGGGGGAGGCAGCGGCAGGACTGGCCTGGGGCTGGTCCAAAGGCCTCAGGGG